AATACAAAAACTGTGCTCTAAGGCAGCGCTGAATGAAGAATTAAAGAGCTGGCACATTTCCCATCAATCTCTTACATCATCTGCCCAAACCCGATACTCACAGAGAGGATGAGATTTACAGAGCTGTTTTATGACTTATAACATGTAGGTAGGAGATGCCACAGATTGTAACTAAGAAAAAAAACACTGAAATAAAAGACTTGTCAGGGAAAGAAAGCTGCACATCACAAAATAAAACATGGCAAAATTTCAGCACTCTGAATCACTCCTCTAAAAGACAGAAGGAATAACAGCTAGGGATTTTTTGTAGTGCAGCATCACAACCAATGGTCTGATGTAATGAAGAGTAAGTAGATGCCTCCTGCCACAGGATGAGCTGCAACAAACCTGCTGCCACAGCAGTTTAACTGTTGAGGAAGTGGAATTGCCCCATAGATGTATCAGCAAGATTTGTGTACTGAATAACAGCTGTTAAGGGAGGTTTATGGGGAGAATTAAATGACTGTGTCAGTGTGCCAGGAGAGCAGCCCAAGAAGCTGGCAAATGTAAAGGTGAAAATGTCTCTGAGCACCACAGTGGTGAGGAGCTGTGGGTTTCCTTTCTTTCCTAGAGTGCTCAAGAACCATCAGAATCATAACTTTCTTCAGCATTACAGGGGAATTAGGAAGGTCTCAAAATAGTAAGGAATGGCACCAGACAGAATCTGCACCCACTTAATTAATGCTAAGCATTCAAGTGAGCAGCTGCTCCTACTCTCCACACTACTGCTCAGTGCAGAAACATACTGCCAGTTGGCTTACCTCACTTTTTTCCACCTCTAAGATAGTTTCAGCTTTTCACTACAGAAACACCTATTGTGACTGAGCAGAATAGTCTGCATTTATATATATATATATATATATTTCATGCAGCTCCTGGGCTTCTCTGAAGGAGAGAAGGGCACCAAAACATACAGGATATCAGAAGCTGCTGCTTCACTGCCACAGGCACCACAACTTACTTACCTCCCTGTTCCAGTACAGCCCTCCAAGACCTCCCTCTCATATTGGTATTCAAGCCAGCCCCTTCCAAGATACCTTATCTGCCATCAGACCCCACAGCTATTTCCTCTGATGGAAGAAAACCGTGGTGAAAAGTCCTCCAGAAGGAGATAAATGTTCTACCTTTTGCCCTCTCATTCCATTTTCTGCCAGGCACCCACACCAGCATGCTCTCAGTACTTGCCCCTGTTACTGACCATCTCAGTCCCATCTACCAGGCAGTCTCCATTCACTGTCTCAGACAACCAGCTGAATTGTTGATTTCTTCTCATGTTTTCTATGTTTCCATCTATCTTTTCAGATGGACAGTGCTCCCTCAACTCATCTAATGTCATTGCGGTGTAGTTTTAAGAACTTCTCCACAGGAAAGGCAAACCAGGAGCCAAGGAAAACCTGAGCCCAGGCAGTGCCCACACCAACCAGACCACAGTCTCACAGGACCTAAGAGCAGCAGGCAGAGCCAGATGCTGACAGCAGACTCATGCTGACAACTGATAGCCCTAGACAGGACAAAAAGAAGACCTAGGCTTAGCACTGATCCAGAGAGGCCAGGTTGCATCAACAGGAGACAGGACCAAAACCAAACCTACAACATCATTCCAAGATCAGCCAGGAAACTTGGCTGGAGACAGAATGAGCAACAGGCACGTCCCAAACATAACTCAAGCAAAACTAAATCAGGACTCTTTTATGACAGATCAGTTCTGTGTTTCTTCATGTAATAAGATCTCTGCCAACATTGCTCATTACAGTGAAGTCAACTCTGATTTAAATTATTAGAATATGGGGTGACTGGCCCAAGTGATTTGCTTGTTCTTGTGCCTTGATCTTATCTTATGCTGCCTTCATGTAAAGCATCATTTAACTTCACTCAGCTGTACTTTCAAAATGCATATGTAGAAAAAGTGTAGAAAATGTGAGTGCAGAAAGACCAGCCTCAGAGGATGTAACAAACATCTGACTGGCTGACTGACTCTGAATGTTGATGAGTGTGAAGAAGCCTGATGTTGTTAGATGCGCTCCTCTGCAGTTTTCACAGCTTGCTTGTTTTGGGTGGCATCTTAGAGCCTCTAACTCCAGAATGTGAGTAAACACATGCAAAACCTTAAAGAGCAGCGTTTTCTAGTATGAGGCATCTCTGTCTGGGTGAGAGGGAGGAAAGAGAAGGTTGTCCCACTCCCTGGTGGGGAATAGGAAGGTGGCTCTTCAGGAGCCTGCCCCTCATCCTGATGCCCGTCTCCCACTCTGCAGGAACCAAATCCAACCCACAGAGCAGCAGCACAAGGCTGTTCTCAATGTTCCATGGTCCTTGCAGGTGCTTGGGTCACCCTTAGCTTTCATACAAGGTTTTATGGTAAGTCATCTTCAGTCCCCTTTTCAAGAAGTGCTCCCTTCCCTAAGCATTGCTCTCACCACATAAGCAGCCTTGCTCCAGAGTACACTCTTGTCACAAGGCTAAAATGGAATGGGTGGAGTGATATCTCCATTCCCCTGTGGGTCTACATTACAAATACGTCACTGAACATCCCAGGAATGAGACAACAGCAGGTCCTCCATGGATCAGATTCCCTTTCTTTGAAGCAAAATTCTGGGCTGATCCTCATCGTTGCTCTACCTTCTGGTTAAAAATACCTGACCTTGTGAAACTTCACAGCTCTCTCTGGGCAGCCAGCCCCTGCCTGTCCAGTGAAACACCCGTGGAAGTCTACTGAGGGCCAGGCAGTTCTGCCTGTCTCCACGTGCATCTGCCCTTGATCTGATATCCCCCTGATACTGGCTCCTCCTATTTTTAATCTTCTCCCACAGCTTGATAACCTACTTGTTATGCACCTACACGGACACACGCACTAGCCTGCCGGGGAGGATGGAGGGCGGGGGCTGCTGTGGGTGGATGTGGATGTCAGGACGTGCTCACCACCACCCCCTGGCCAGCAGCTGCGGCGCCGCGCTGAGGGGTTCCTCCCGCAACCTCCTCTTGTAGCGCGGGCTGCTGCTCTCCATCTCCAGCCATGGATGGGCTTTGCTCTCCTCGGGAACATTGGAAGGAATGCTCTGTAGTGCCGACACATCTCCCCGGCTCTGCTGCTTATCGGGGAGGCGGGAAAACACGCTGCCGGAATATTGAGCATTTAGTAAGTCAATAAGTGATCAAATAAATCAGCACTTCCCCCACGAAACACAGGCGGGAAGCCGAGCGGCGCTGCTCCTCGCTCCGCTGCCCGCGGTGGTGTAAGAAAACCGTGCGTGAACGGGAAGCTCGGGGTTTCCCTGGCACTCAGCCGTGCAGGTTGGGACTGCGGCGCCCGCCAGGTCGGGGGTGCCGCCGCCGCCCTGCCTGTCCGCGCCCCTCCGCGGCTGCGGGCCGGCCGCTCCCGCGGTGTCCTGTCACAGCCGCCGCCTTACGTAACTGCTGCTCACAGCGGGGGCTTTGGTTATCCCTCGCCTCGGCTGCCACCGCACACCGTCAGTCCGGGCGGCTGGGCACAGCCTGCGCGACGCGAGCCCCTCCCGCCCCGCGCAAGGCAGAGCCGCGCAAGGCACCGCCCGCGCTCCGCAGCGCCCGGCCGAAGCTGCGCCGCGCCCGGAGGAGCCCCGTGCTCCCTCTGCGGACTCCCCGCTTCCCCCTCCCAAGTCGCGGGACTCCCATGAGCGCTCCGGCCGGGAGGGCGGTGGGTGCGCAGGGTATCCTGGCCCCCAGCACGGCGCCCAGCGCTGCGCTCAGCGGAGAACAGCGAGCGGTGCCATCCGCACTCGCAGCCCCTTATCCTGAATGGGAGAGTGATTCCCACGCCCAGTTTGCTCAGAGATTTTCAACAGCTCTATACCACGCGAGCGAGAAGGTTCAATCAGAAGAAAGCGCCTTTTTGTTGTTGTTGTTGTTTTTATTTATTTACCAGAGCGCCCACCGCACGAGAGGGTGAAGGGATACCCTGTTCAGCCAACTGGGTCCTCCTCACGGCTGGGCAATGGCTCCCCGTTCCCTCCTTTCTCTGAAGCAAACGCTGCTTTTGGGGAACGGGGGAGCCAGACCTCGCAGGGCTCGTAGGGGTGGCACAGGGCATCCCCGCTGCCTTTCTCTCTGTCTTCGCCGTGCGGATCGCCCCCGCTGCCCGGGGTGCGGGGGAGTAAGAAGGGCTGCAGGGGAGGGAGGGGGGGCTGCCGAGGCGGTGCGTGTCCCCCCCGCCGCCCCCTCGCTGCGGCGGCACGTGGTGCTCCCGGGACGCGGGTCCTCAGACGCCCCCCCTGCCCAGCCAGCCAGCCTCCTTCGCGAGGAGCTTTTTATAGCAGCCCCGACCCGCTCCCCGATGGGAGGTTTCTCGCCGAGCTCACGTTACCGTGCGGGTGCGATGTTAAATAAAGGAGGGGGAGGAGGGGAAGGGAGTTCGCCGGGCGCCTAATTAAGAGCCGGCGTTAACCAGGAGGGCTAAAAATAGCGCCGAGCGCCGCAAACCGCCCAACCGCAGACAGCAACCCCCGTGGATCCCTGCCGCGCCTCCGCCGGTGAATGGAGCGGCCGGCGCTGAATGGAGCGGCCGGGAGCATGAATGGGGAAGCGGAGCGCGCTGTGAATGGGGCGGCGCGGCCGCCGCGGGGGGGCGCTGTGGCGCCGCGGCGGCAGCTGGGGCCGCGGCCGCGCACGTGCCGGCGCGGGGGCGGCTCGGTGTCACCTGGCGGCAGCGGTGGCGGCGGGCGGGGCGGCGGCGCGGGCGGGCTATAAAAGTGTCCCGCCGCGGCACATGCACACTTCGGGGAAACTTCCTGCCTGGAGTGGCGGCGCCGGCCGCCATGGGAGGCGCGCCCGCTCCCGTCGGCCCCGCTCCGCCCTAGGGCGGGCAGCCCCGCGGCGCAGGGCGGCCGCGACCCCCGCCCCGAGCTGACCCGATCCGCCCCTGCCGGAGGCAGCGCTGGCGAGCGCGCCCGCTCCGCCGGTACCCGGTTGCGCCCTGGGAGGCGGCGGCAGGATGAGAGTGAACGAGAGCGAGCTGAACAGCTCCGTCCTCCCGCGGGACCCGCCGGCCGAGGGCGCCCCGCGCCGCCAGCCCTGGGTGACCTCCACTTTGGCTGCCATCCTCATCTTCACCATCGCGGTGGACCTGCTGGGCAACCTCCTGGTCATCCTCTCCGTCTACCGCAACAAGAAGCTGCGAAACGCGGGTAAGGGGCGGCGGGGAGGCCCGGGGGCGCCGCCCGGGCTGGGGTGGGCGGGGGTCCCGTGGCCCCGGGATGCGGCGCCGTGGCCTCTTCGTCTGCCGCTGAAACTTTCCCCGAGCGCCGAACTCTGGCGCTGGGCTCTTTGCCTCCATCCCCAGCTGGCGGTTATCGGCTGTGACAGATGCCAAGAGCTCCGTCTTTCCTGCCGAGTCGGTAATCGAGCGGGAAAGGGTATTTTTAGCTCCCGCCACTGAATCCTGGTGTTATTTTTAGCTCTCGGCAGTTCCCACCTAGCAAAAGGGAATGGCAAGTAAGTCCGTATTTAAGAATGAAATTCAGACACGGTACCGGGGATGCTGCCTTGGCATACAGTGTGTGTCTGTGCATGCTGGATGCTGTTCTTCTGATTGATTTTCTTTGAGTTACAGAAATGTCTCCAGTAACAAATTCTATGGTTGGAGCTTCAAATCAAGCGAATACGAAGTTATAAACATTGCAGGATTCAGACAATTCCCTCCCCCACCTTTGTTCGCCTCCTACTTACCGTCTAGGTCTTTGGGGAATGGAAAACATCTAACAGAAAACAGCTTTAGACACTTAAAAAAAAAAAATCTCTAATTTTGACAGGATAGAATCTGTGCTGGTCTGTTGAGTAAATCCCTCTTAGTTCATGGATTATTGGTCAGACAGGCAGGAACTTCTTCAGATTCATTCTGCTTTATCATGTCAGACCAGCTGCTGTGCACGTGTACCAAATATGTGCACTCCAAGCCCTATGCATCTTTCATTGAAAAAAACAGGAGCATGGGAAGAGAGCTGTATTGGTAATGAAAGCAGAATTTCACTCCCTGACAACTGAGAAGCTGCTTTTATTTTTTTCACAATTGGGCTGTCAGGGTCTTCATTACTACTGCACTCAGTTCATTAGTCAGTGGTTTAAAATTCATCTGGGGGGGTGAATTTTGAGCCTGGGCTTTGCTCTGAGCTAGCCTAAGGAAGGTATCTTGTGTTGGACTCTGGCAAGCGGTGGCATGCTTGTCTTTCTAAGGTTAATTCAGGTAATTCAAGTGGATTGTCTGCTTCAGTTTCATTCTGCCATAGTGGAGTGCCACACACGGGATCAAAATGAAGAGTAATGGATTTTAATTTTTTCCTCCCTACAGTTGCCAATGAGGTAAATTCTAAAAGCTATAGTATCTTCCCGCTTTCATTGGCAGAAATTTCATTCATGGGAGCTGGCAGGGTAGCACGTGCAATAGCGTGTAATTGAGAGGAGTCTCCAACTCCACAAGTCTCAGTGAGCACTTGACTACCCTTGTTCCCCGGACGATTTTTAGATGGAGGGAGAAAGGGTTGAGACAGGCATGTTACTTGGGTTACTCTAGGGGAATGGGTGATATTCTCCTCCTCCTCCTGAATTAATAAATCTGTGGTTTAGCACTTCTGTGGGTAGTTTGCAATATGGACAAGTCTGCTAAACTCTGAAATAAACGTGGTGTCTGTTTTCTGGAGACAAAAGTGAATCCTTGGTTCTATGTATGTGCATACTCTCTGCTGTAGATACCGTGTAATCCCTCCTGAATCTCAACACGTGCTCACTTGCTCACTCTTACTGCATTTCTTGTTCTTGCCTTTTCTGTCATAGTGACTGTTAAGAACTGCAATAAACTGGCAACAGCTAGGCGAATAGAGCATTCTTCTGAACATAAGTTGTTTGAGACTGGAACATGAACTAGATACTGCTTGACTCTCTGAAATTAAGGATTAATTAAAACAAATAGACACTTGGTGCAATGTGGTAAATAGTTTCTAGTCTTGATTTAGGAGAAAAATAGGAGCAAGCTTTTAAAGTTCTTAAGTTTGAGTTTGTTGGTTTTTTTTTTTCTTTAAAATATGGGGGAGAGGGGTTAGTAAATGGATTAAAGGAATCTTTGGAAATAAAACAGGTTTTAAAAAGGTGTTCTAAGTGTTCGCATAACTTTATTTATGTGAGCACCACTATTAAATTGGGCCTTCAGTTAGGAAGGGGTTACTCAGACAAATAAATTTGTAACAGGGAATAAGTATTTAGAAGACCCTGGCCTATAATTTGTAAGTTTGAAGACTAAAGTCTCCCAAGTCTTGTTTATCCTAATGCAGATTATTCAGGAAGAGACATTGACAATAATCTGATTTATACATACATTTATACAACTCATTTGTAACTTGGTAATGCCAAAGGCAGTTATGAGTTTTTACAGAAATGTAATAAGAAAGAAACTTCTACTTTTGCAACAACTTATATTAAGTCTTGCTGGCACATTAATTGAGGAAAAAGGACACAGGATGAAAATTCCACTGGAAAAAGGTCAGGGAGGAACAGAAGATGCCTCCTGAAGAAAATGTATCTCACTGAAGATTTTCTTCCCTCTTTGCAAGAGAGGACTAACAGAAATAAGGAGTATATAACCCTTTCACAAAAAGGTGGATTTGGTGGGGGAAAACATCTTGCATCTCTGTCCTACTCCCTATTATATACATATCTATTGGAAGATACTACAAATTGAACCTGTGGACTTACGATTTAAAAAATGCATTGGGGAATAGTAGGAAGGCCTAGAAAAACCTTCTCAACAAGTGGTGTAACCTTCCTGACAGTCAGAAGGTTAGTAAAAGACACTGATCAAAGCAGAGGAGTCAGTAACTCAAAGAAGTTGGTCTCAGCAAGCGAGGAGTGTCTGATACTACAGACTCCTTCATAGGCACAAGCATGGCTTCAATAGATGCTCTTCTAGACACAGAAGCTGATGATGCAACTGGTAGGATCCTCTTTTATTTAATGTACTTGACTTGTAATAAGTTTAATAGTTCTGGTCTGTTATTTCTTTTATGGTGGCTTGTAATCCAAGAGTTGCCTGACACCAATTCAGTCCTGATGGGAATAGCTGCAATTTAAAGCTGACCTACACAAAGACTGAATTTGGTTTATGATATCTGTAATCTTTTAACTTTGAAACAAAGTTCAAGGGAAACATTCAAGGCATAAGGATTTTAATGACCATATCTCAGTAGCATATTCATGCAGCTTGAACTTTAAACTGTTGTGCTTTCTTTAATAACTAGTTTTTAAAAAGAATGAGAGCAGATTGTTTCAGAAAGAAGTTTTGTGTAAATCCTTGTCTCATTTGCCATTATTAATATTCATAGATCATTCAGCAGATCCACCCTGGGAAGATGCAATTACTATCCATAGGGAAGGTGTATTAAAAAACTCTTGGTACTTTTAACAAGTGGAATTTTTATTTGAAACTGTCAACATCAAATCAGAGCATCTCAGAAAACCGAGGAGCTCATTTAAGTGATTTATGTAATAGTCCACTCAAATGTGGTGATTGCTGGTATCCTTATGCCTTTGTTGTTACCCACACCAAGAAAAACAATGCATCAAGAACAAGGTGAGGGAGCAGTTCTAAGTCTTGGACTGTGGAGATTAGTTTTCTGGTAGTGACATTAAAATGTCAACACACACCTGTTCTTTTTGGTGACAGGCGGATTTGGGTACTCAGTGATTGCAGGACTGGACCATTCTTAAGGTCAATGAAGAAAGTTTTCTTGAATGGTATTACACCTCTTGCTCTTCTTTCTCTTCCTTTTGAAACTGTTCTCTTGGCCTGGCGGGTTGCTTTTTTTCTGGGTTCTTCGTGTGCTGAGGTCCAAAGGTTCCCTGACTACCCCTCCAATAGAATCCAGTGTGAGAAGGGAGGCCCAGCAGTCTCACCCTCACTCCTGTGTGCTAACACTGTCCTGTCTGCTACCACTTGGCCTGGGTTGGGAAAATCCAGGGACTGGTGCCAAGCTGGTGACTAGCGCCTACCAAACCAGGGCAGAAAGCTGCGTTCACCCGCTTCTTGCTGATCTCTGTTCTGTGATAGGTGTATTTGGGTTTTTGTACTTTTTTTCTAATTTTCCACCTCCTTGGCCCAAATGTTTTGTTGCTAAAACTTTGTTACTAGTGAAGAAGGCATAGAGGAAGTTTGACATTGCTGAGGCCCCAGGACAACAAGATACAGCTAATTTCACTGGGACTGCACACATGCTTAAACTTACCTATGTGTGGTAACTGCTTTTCTGAATGAGATGGCAATGACAAAGGGAAAAAACCCCAATGTTCTATGCTCAATCTGCCTCACCTGCTTTAGATCCCAAGAGTTCTGTGAAGACAGCTCTGTGAGTGCTCAAAAGAATACAATGAACTCAAGGGTAATCTTCAGTAAGGGTAATCTCTCTAAAATCTCTTAAGATCAGTAAAGTCACTCTTGAAAGAACTAAGTAACACAGCTACTTATGTTTTGTTTTTTTTTTTCCCCATTCTTTGCTGAATAGTACAGCTATTCCAGAATTAGGGTTGGGAATCTATCAGTGAGAATTTAATTTTGGAGGCTTTTAAAACTGGCCCTGGGTTTTGATTTAAGCAGTGTAGGAATCTAGTTGTAGAGTGCTCCTCTCTTACTGCATTTTCTAGAATAAAAATTTTTAAATAAGGATGGAGCTGTCTTTTGATATCCAGATTGGAGATATCATCAGCCTTTTCAGAAAAATACTGTTCTTGATGATGTTTTGTTTTTTAGTTTTAAAATTATAATATTAAATGCTCTAGTAAAGATTGTTTTATCTAATAAATGAAACTCCTCTTATGAATTGAGACTAATGAAATCATTCTTTTTGTCACAGGTGAACCGTGGACTTCATTTTGTGCCCTGAGAGACTATGGGTAGTCCGACAAAGACTTGACTCAAGGAAGAGAACTTAGAAGATCAAGTTATAGCACAAATTCAGGGCTCTGATAAAAACTGAGATGTTGATGGCAATGAACATTATTTCAGAAATTAATAACTTCCAGTATTAAATGGTAAGCTGTTTGGGAGAAGGGAAGATATCTAGAGGAGATGCTGAATTTTGCCAATTGTTGAACAGAACTGAGCATAAAAATACAGTTTCAATAAAGTTGTTCCTCAGACTGGTTT